TTATAATGATTTTTATATATCATAATGCACCCACTATTTAACACATATCTCAATATATCAAAACTTGAATCCTAATATGATAATCAAATGAAAATAATTAAAGCCGAAACTAACTGCCCAACACATCAATGGCGGACTACAAAACTATCTGCTGAAACCACTTATTTTCAATGTTCCAATTCATATTTATCGTTCCACTATTAATAATCCTAATCTTGGAGTAATCATTGTTCAATGATTAGGACTAATCATTGTCCAATGATTGAACCATAATACTTATACACATTTATAATCTCAAGTTCACAAGTTCACATATTAGTATAAATTATACACGTTTTAACCTAAAAATCTATTCCTAGTTACACAAAAATTTAATAGAAAGGATAAGAATAATTACCTTGACGCCTTGAGATGAAAATATTGATTTTTCTCCTCCTTTTCCCTTTTCTTTTCTCCCTTTCTTTTCTTTTCTTCTCTGCATATTTTTTTTCCTCACAGATCGTTCCTTCTTTTTGTTTTCTCACAGATCGTGTGCGGCACCATTTAGGGCACTCCCCCCCCCCCTTTTTTTACTATTATTTATTTATTTATTTGATTTTCTTTTTTTTTTCTTTCTATTTTTTTTCTTTTTTTTTTCATTATTTTAGCAACAAAATAATCCTTTATTAAATCTAAAAATTATGTCACTCATTCTTATAAGTCATATAAATTAAATATAAAATCTACAAAAAAGGTCAATATAAAAATAATAATTGGAATTTCTAAAACGACTAAGAGGGTCGTTACAAAATGTCAGTTTAATTATGCGTTATTTAAAATTTTGAGAAATATATGAGCAAATTCATATATTTGCAAGACAGCTGATTCTTGTTTGTATTATTTTGCAACAAACATGACATTAGATTTTAGGAAATGTTGTAATAATATCCTAAAAATAGAAGATTCAAAGTTTAAAAATAATGTAAGGTGTTCTTTACTAAAAATAAATAAAGTAAAATAATAGCAAATGCCAAAAAGCATTCTCAGAACCTGTTTGCCCAAATGATTGAGAGGCCAAAATTATTACTACTCTTATTTGTGAAAAATTGAAATGTTTGATCCATTAGTAAAATCATTTTTAAATATCTTTCACAATAAATATTCAAAATAATCCTAATATCTAGTAAAAATGCATCAATTTACGTTTAAAAATATTTTTGAAATTAAATTTGTCATACACTTAGTAAAAATACTCTATTTTTTAAGAAAAAATATTTTTTTTAAATAAGTAATTTTTAGCCGCTCGAAAAAAAAATAATTATTTTAGACGTGTTCAATAATGTATACCTCGAAACGTCGAAGCTACTCTTTCAATAATTGGTGGTTTGCCTATTTAATCATAGAGTTTAAGAATTAGGCCCACTCTTTGTTGCAAGACATTTGTAATTTTTTTTAAAAAAAATATTAGGTCTCGATCGTGACTCACATTGTAAATAATTAATTTAAATGTGTATAAATTTACATATTTAATTTGATTTTGATATTGTGTAAATTAAAATTTAGATTCAATTCGTACCTCAAACATAACTAAAATAAATACATTATTCATTTTTTTATAAAAAAATTGAAAATTATAATCATTCACCAACGTGAAATATTCTATTTCATTAAATAACCACTCTTTTTAGCTATTAAAAGATTGAAAAGAGAGGTTATTAGCTTGCTTTACTTCGATAAATGATGTGATTATTCAGACATTTATTTTTCATTTTTACTAATTAATTTTCTTTTCTTGATGTTAAAATTTATTAATTTGAGGAATTATTTAAAAATTGCAGGGAAAGAACACTACCAAAAAAAAAAACACATAAATTCTACAATTTCAATTTCTAGTTCTACAAAACGGTGTTCCATTCTATCTAGAGAAGAATTAATTCAAATCTTGAACAAATGTGAGTATTATATTATGTAAAAAAAACACAAATTTTAATGAACTTGATTCAATAAAAAAAAATTATAGTTTTCTTTTTTTAATTAGGGAAGAGGGTCTGATATACCCCTCAACTTTGTCATTTAGAGCTGATATATCCCTCGTTATAAAAGTGGCTCATATATGCCCTTACCGTTATACAAACGGCTCACATATACCCTTCCGTTATTGTAATTTAATTTCGTATTCGAAGAAAAAATTTGGTCATCTACAATAAGTTTTACAAGAATATTAGTGAAACATAAATAAATTTGATTATCAAAATAATAATTATAAATTAGTCATTGAAACAAAAAAAAGTCAAAAAAAAATATGTTTGACGAGGATTAAATTTACTCATATGGGATCATATTTTTTAGAAAAAAATAATAAAAATTTAGATTAAAATTATTATTTTTTTCATTTCCGTTAGAGGAAAAGGATATATGTGAGCCATTTGTTTACAAGTAGGGGTATATATGAGCCACTTTTATAACGAGGGTATATCAACTCTAAATGACAAAGTTAAGGGGTATATCAGACCCTTTTCCCTTTTAATTATATTTTGATTGCATGAATGACATGAGCTATAAAAATATCTTCTTCTTTTTTTTGGGTTGGGGGTGGGGTGGGGTGGGGGGGGGGGCTTTCCTTTTTACCCCTTGTTTGAAAAAAAAATGTCTATATAAGAAGTAAACAAGATACTATCATATAGGAATCAAATTAAAGTAGGAAAAAAGAAAATATGGGTCTTGGAGGAACTTTGGAGTATATTTATGATATGATGAAAATTAGTCATAAATCCAATAATAAGAAGAGGCAATTTCATACAGTAGAGCTCAAAATAAGAATGGATTGTGATGGCTGTGAGCTTAAAGTCAAGAAAACTTTGTCATCAATAAGTGGTAAGAAATTAATTAAACACTATATGTTATATACTAATTGGTTTTAAGGTTTTTATTTAGTTATTTATTAATATACGATAATATAATTTTTTAAAGAAGGAGATTCGATTGGACCTCTTTTAGTTTCACACTTTTACTATGCCTTTAGCATGATATAAGAGTTTGAATTTCTCTCTCATTCAAATAACAGTATTATGAGTTTAAATTATATGCATGATGGTGTAAAAATATATACGTAATATGATCATCACTTATAAGGTGATTAAATGTGATCTACAAGCATTTTATGTGACACAACACAATTATTATTTAGAGGATAAGTGAGTTCAAATTTTTAATTCGATTTTTTAATAATTTTTAAATATTTTAAATTGTCGGTTATTGTGATTTATTGTACATTTTAAATAGTTGGTACATACGCGAATTTGATTTCACAAAATTTGATTTCTTTGTGTATTCACGTCTAGAATTAAAGAGCTTGACCCTTATACCTACTCTGAATAATATAGTGTCATATAAGTAAAAAGAGTAAATTTCTCCTGTCTTAATATGTATGATATAGTTTGATTAAACACGAAGTTTAGAAATATAGGAAAACCTTGCAATGTTCTAAAACTAATTCCTTAAGAAAGTACACCGTCTTTATAGACTTTTTGTTAAATAAGCTAGACTCAGTACGAGTAAATTAAAATCTTATTAGCGTCATTAAATAATTAAAAAATAAAAAAGTGTGTTATTTTTTTAATGAACTAAAATACCTCTCGTTCTAATTCAATGTCCCCTGAATAGTAAGGTAAAGTCTCGTCACACAACTCACTAACTTTATCTGTTTGAAGCAAAGCATATCATATAAATTGAGACAGTATTTATAATGTTAATAAAAATGTTAACTAATTAACTTGCTTAAATAATTATAGGTGTAAAATCAGTGGAGATAAATAGGAAACAACAAAAGGTGACAGTAACAGGATATGTGGAAGCAAACAAAGTGTTAAAGAAGGCAAAATCAACAGGGAAAAAGGCTGAGATTTGGCCTTATGTGCCTTACAATTTAGTGGCTCAACCCTATGCTGTTGCTTCTTATGACAAGAAGGCTCCTCCTGGCTATGTTAGAAGGGTGGATCACAACATGACAACAATAGGAACAATTTCAAGATTTGAAGATCATGATTATGTTACAATGTTTAGCGATGACAATCCTAATGCTTGCTTTATCATGTAATTAGTTAAACAACCATAATCGAGGGTCAAATACATAAATAGATTTCTAAGCTTGTTGGGGTTTTTTCTCCGGGTATCTCAACTACGTCATTTTTCTATTGAATCATTGAACCACCCATAATTTGTTCCTTTAAAACATTGTTGGTTGATTTTGATCGGCTTTTCTATTGTAAATGCCTTCAATTGTGTTCGAATTGTAATAATTTTAATTGAAGGAATGAAGACAAACCGTGTTAGTCTCATTTATTTTCTATGTGATCAAATGACTTAAGTAAAATACAATTATTCTCGAACATTTTCACTATCAATTAGACTAATGCATTGTTGAACAACATATGTATCATCTATCAATACCCCACATAAATCTGGTTCCACATCAGACAATATTGTTTGTTTAAACGGCATAAATTATGGAAATTCAATGATTCAATAGAAAAATAACATAGTTAAGGTATCTGAGGAAGAAAATCCAACACGTTTAAAAATCTGCTTATGTATTTAGTCATAATCGAGTAATATGTCTATGTTCAATTTGCATTCAGTATAAAATTTTGCGCGGGGGGAGGTGGGGGGGTATTATAAGTATATGATGTTCGAGTCATTTTGTTTGAGTGTTACTAGTACTAGGTTATAGTGTTTGCGTCAGTATGCACTACAAAATTTTGTTAGGGTACTCATGTTAGTGTATAATGTTTGTATCACATTGAATGGAGTCAGGCACTACACAATTGTGTCAGAGTATTATTAATTACTATATAGTGTTTGTATCATTTTGTATGTAATAACAAACTATAAAATTATATAGGGGTACATTGTATAACTAGTACTTTATCGAAGTTTTGTATCCATTTGCATGCAGCCGAGCACGATAAAATTATGTAAACAATATTAATTATACATGATGTCTGCATCAATTTGCACGTAGTCGAGCACTGCAAAATTTTGTAAGGGATGGTATAGATGTATCTGGATTCCCCCCCCCCCTCCCCCCTGGTTAGGTACATGGTACCATGATGCTACTATTGTTTTCATTTTAATTTGTTTTACTAATACATAAAATGAAATGGAGGGAGTAAACAAAAAAGAATTATAAAGAAAAGGAGAAACTACAACTATAATTAGACATACTTTACGAACATATATATTATTATTATTTATATTTTTAAAATATTGCGTATCTTATTATTAAAATAAAAGTTTTCTATCACATATTGATGAATCTAGATACATGTATTTTTGCTACCAAATACATTAATCGAGGCGAGCGAGATGAAAGGGAGACAATCAAGATTTATTATGTATCTCATATACATGCGAATCACAGATACACGTATATGGATGTATCTCCTGCGATTCTCATGTATCTGGTATCATTTAGAGAGTGGCGAGCGAGATGGGAGAAAAACCAACGAAATTTGTTATGTATTTCAGCAGATACATACAAATCTACTTAGATACAATGTATCTAAAATAATTTATATCTAATTTTGATCTTATATATCCTGAGATACATGTATCTAAATTTATTGAATTTATCAAATTTAGCAAGATTCATAATATTATAAACTAATGTGTATCTAGGTAATTCTCGAAGACAAACAATGTGCCTTTTAGTCCAATAAAGTGAAACGTTGGGATATATACCTTGTAGTAATAAATTAATTACAAGTATTTGTCCCAATAATTTTCCCACGAAATGACATCTGATAGATGATGTATAAAGGACCAATAATTTTACCCTATGGTCTTTCAATTAATAACCATTATTGATTGAACTTTTTTATTCTTATTTTTGTTGACAATCAAGCTATAATTTTCAACTGTCCCTAGCTAGCTGAGAAGAAAATAGTACCACAATGGTTCATCCTCTTGTTGAGTCACATGATTTGGGGTTTGAGATTATTTGTCTCCTTGTATGGTCAATTCTTATCGGTTTGAACATGTTTTTGAAATTGAGTTAGACATAAAATTCATTTTTTATCAAAATAAAGTCAATTAATTTGCGATTTATCTAATATTTGACAACAGTGCTAGAGTAGCTAATTTATAAATTTTGGATCATAATCCTTACAAGATTCTGGATATATAATGTGTACATGTTAAATGAATATTTAACATATGTCTAATCTGAATCAACGTTATTAAATTATGTCGAATTTGTTGCTATTACTATAATTTCAACACAGTTGTCCCGCCATCTTATATTGTACATGCTCCAATGTCTAATTCTTAGCATGCAAGACCAAGGGGGGTGGGGGGTCCGAGTCCTACATTTAATTTGTTGGGGCTTAAATTATTTGTCTTATTATATGATCTAGGATAATATTAAATTAAGAACGAAATTCATTTTTTATGATCATAGATATAGAGTCAACCCATTCTCAACTCGATCCTAATTGTTGATAAATAACTTTAGTATTGAAAAAATCATGAATTTGATCCTAGGTCTCTTACATGATAGACACAATTGATATACATTTTGTACCAAATTAAATCCAAAATTACCCTTAAACATATAAAAATTCAAAGTAAATTTTATTATATCATTATTCAAGTATATATTCCATCAACCCTAAATTCCCCCTTTCTTTTAGGACAAAATCAATAATTCCCACCACTAATTAAATTTCTCAAAATTTCTCCTTTTTTTCCTTATTCAAAAACCATTAGAAACAATATTTTCATTACCCTAAAAACACACACAAATGTAAAATCTCATCAAAGTTCATTTTCTCTATCCCTAAAATCCTCCTTTGATATTTTTCTTTATATTCCATTGTTCATATACATATATACATATATATATATTAAAGAGTGGATTTTCTAACGTTACATTTTTAATGGGATGAAATCGATTGTTTCTAGCAACAACATGAACGCGATATACGTTCAAATTATGTTGCTAGATCATATCAATACGAAAAAAATGAAACTTTTATTTTTTTAATTGATTGTATATTATTACATTCATATATATATATTGTTCATATATGTATATATATCTTTCTAAATTATAGAAAGATTTTTTTTTTTATAAAAAAAAAACATGGGAAGAAGTAAATTGCCATTGTTGAAGATTGAGAGTTTGACCAATAGACAAGTCACTTTTAGCAAGAGAAGAAATGGAATTCTCAAAAAAGTTTATGAATTATCTGTTTTATGTGATGTAGATGTTGGTATTATAATGTTCTCTCCTTCTGGTCGTCTCACACATTATTCGCGTAAAAGAAGGTAATGATTTATATTTTTAAAAGATCTGACACAAATAATATGAATCGAACAAATAAATATATTATTCGAATTTGATTGTAATAATGATATGACTAGTACATTAATTAATGTCTTGATTAAGGCAAAAAAAAAAAAGAATCATTCAATTTATAATTTTGATAAAAATTTTAGGAAAATAAAAATTAAAGTCAAATTTGATTCAATTTTCCTCTAGAGGGAGTAATAAAATTAATAAATTTTAATAATGCAGAATTGAAGATATTCTTTCTGAGCTCATTAGTCTCCCAGATAGTGAAAGAGGATTGTAAGTTTTCTTTTATTATTTATTTTTCTCTTCTTAGTTTTATTATGTCTTTTTTCCCTTTTTGTTTCTTTTTCTAATTAAGTTTTTTTAAAAAAATATATATTTTATGTATTTATTGTAATTAGCTAAAATATCTAACACATACTTTCTTTTGTTAAAAATGCAGCTACATCAACAATAAAGAGGTGAGTTTCACTTGACTTATTATGTTCTCTCGGTTATTCGTAAATTTTGATTTTAATTCTTGTGATATATGATTTATCAGATTTAAATTTTTAGTTAATCTAAATATAATGTTTTTGGTTTGTTTATATAGGAAGTATGGTATATTTTAACTATTCTTAAAAAGTATATTGCCCTCAAACGTGAAATTTAACATAATACATGAGTAATCGATAATTATACAGTGAAATAATTAATAGCTCTGAAAATATATTTGTGAATATTTATAAAGGGATCAAAAGTGCAAATTTAAAGTAATCGAAGATTAAATTAACCGGATATCATAAAGATAAAAATTAAAATTTACATAATTGAGGGACCATGAATATTATTACCCTAAAAATAAGATTTATTTTTAAAAAATAATTTTCATTATTCCACTCTTTATGCAGTCTGTACTTTGGAACTTAAGGAAGATTGAAATTGAAGATAAATTTTGCGATATTGAAAGGTTAGTTTTCTTTAATTAATTTAATTTTATTTTTTTTAAGATATTTTTTTTATGTATTATTTATCATAATTCTTTTTTAAAAAAATTAATTAGGATAAATCCTGCATACGTCAACGCAAATGACACAACAAAGGTACTTAATTAATTCTTTTTCCCTGTTTTAATTTTTTATTTTATTTTTATATTATCAAACTTAAGATTAATTGTTTTCTCTTTATTTTTATTTTTTTTAGAAAATTCAAGATGAAATCAATGGCTTGCATTGTAAACTCGATGAGGCTGAGGGATTATTAAGGTAATTAAAATTTATCTTAAGAATTCATTACATATGTACAAATCATTAATTTAGACCTAGTAACTTAAAAAAAAATTAATTTATATTAAGAATTCATTAAATATATACAAATCATTAATTTAGACTTAGTAACTTATAAATGACTAAAATTCTAAGCTCATAAACATTAAATTCGAACTCCATCTTTTTTTGAGGTATGTAAACATAGTAATTTCATGTTAAGTTAATTCGAATTTGTTTTACTCTATCTGTTCAATTGAGATCTTATTATGCAATTGCATTCTCTGATTTAATTATTGTATTTGTTTTTGTTCTAATTTATTAAAATTAATTTCATTTGATTGGTTGTTTATCCCTAATTTTGGTATAGCAATTATATTTCGATTTAATCCCTTTTTTTTTAATTTTATAATATGATATTTTGAATATTTATTCTTTTCTCACATTTTGACTTTATTTAAAGAATATTTGAACCAGATACACAAAGGATTACATCACTCCATGAGCTTGATTTATGTGAAAAACGTCTTCAAGTTGCATTAAATCAAGTTAGACAAAGAATGGTATGATGTTTACTTG